CCCGCCGCCCTTCCCCCGCGAGACAGACCAGCCTGCAACCGCGCGGGCGCCCCTTGGCACGCGCGGGCGCCCGAGAACGCAGCCGGGGCTTCTTCACCGCCCTACCTTCGCCTGGCGAGCCGGGTGGTCCTGGCGCTGCTGGCAGCGAGAGCGGCTGGGATCGCTTTTACCAAAGCGCCGAGACAGCGAACAGCCGCGACTCCTCCCGAAGAGACCCCTCCCAGTTCTCTCGTGGCTTCGGCAGCTGATTCAACGCGGTTTGTATAAACGCTGATCTTTCCGAGACGCCTAGCGGAGAAACGGGACCACTGGCCGCCTCGGTGAGGCGTAGTGAGGAAGCGGAATTCGGGTCCCGGGAAGGGAGGTCTGTGCCTGTTGAGCAGGGGACGCGCGAGGGACGCCGTCCTGGGATATTTTGCTGGACGTGGGTGGTGGTGTCACCGGGTGGCATTCTGGGGTCGCTGTTCCTTGCGTTGCCTGTAAGCACATGGGGTAACAAGGCTTGAAAGAAAATCGAGCTTGACTCCGATGACTGGAATTCACCCATGTAATTTTCTCAAAACCAACATGGAAGTAGTTTCCCAGTACCTTGTAGTAAGATTTTGTTTTGGTTGCAGTTTAGCCTACCAGGTTGGGGGCTTCCTGGTGGTCTCCCATCCAAGAACAAGCCAGGCCTCATCCCACTTAAGTTTTCAAGATTAGCCAGGGTCAAGTACATGCTGCTGCCTAGTTGGAGTAACAAAGTTGATGTGTCTTTTTTGTAGTTATGAGTAGTTCAGTTTGTACAACATGGTTACTCTTGGTTGACTGAATCAGAATTTACTTAGTTATCCCAGTCTGGTAGCTTTATACAACCATGAACTAGACTAAAATATGTGTTGTGGCTTAATGTGTTACACAAATACAACCACAATGTATCGTAGAGGAAGATAGAGAATGGAGGAAATAACCAAGCAACTGCTTTTTTTTTTTTTAAGTACAGTTCATAATGTCTTAAAGGTAAAAAATCTTTGCGGGATCACTAAATTTTGAATTAAAAAAAAGAACTCTGAATATGTCAATATAAGCTGCACCTCAGACAGCAAAGAGGCAAAAAATTTGGAGCAATTTTGATGGCAATAAAATACTGTTTTGGAAGTGAGAGAAGAGGGCAAAGTTAGGAACCTCCAAAGAATAAGGGCTGCAGAGGTAGCGTGATAGTTTGCTTTCCCAGAAACTCTGTTACAACCTAGTTAATTATTGTAAACATGTTGTAATTATCCACAATAATGACACACTCTTGATTCCAAATTGCTATAACCATGTGAACAGTGACAAATTGTCATTTTCTAGGAATCCTGCTTCAAAACAGTTGGATTTACAAAAGACTGCTTTTATTTGTTACCTTGTTATCTTGCCCTTTTTTTCTTTTTTTTTGAGAACTTAAAGCTAGGAACAGAGAGAGCAAACATCCTGGGGGACTGACATGTTTTCGCACTGCTATTAGAAAGTTGCTATAATTTCCGATGTTGAATTTGTGTCTTTCTGTTTTACAGACAGGCAGGCCTGTTCAGTGTATGGAGAATACAGAGGGGAGTTGCTGACAGTTGCTAAAAATGCCGTCATTTAAGTGCTGTTGTCCACCCACCATGGTGTGGATTTGCTCCTTTCATAGCAGTAGACCCCCAAACCACCAAATTTGATTAAGTGGACAGGAATCCATGAAAATTAGAAAATCATACATGCATTAGTGGCAGGATTACAAGACTCTTTGTTATTATTCATGCAACTCATGGGGGAGGAAAAATTAACCTGTAACTATAAACTTTAAAATTTTCCTTTCTGTAAAAAAATAGCACACACACACCTGCTTCTGATCTACTTTACTCCTTAATCCTTAGCTTCCACTGACTGATTAAACTATGATACTATACCTGAGCCCAAGTACTGTCATGCTGACTTGCCCACCCCAGTGCAATGTCTCCTGTTCATTGATAGTGTCCTGCAAAAGCCCTGTTAGAGATTATAGACTTGGGGAATCTATTTTCTTTGCTAGAAGCCTCTCTTTTTAGAATGGGAAATGAGTCATCATTTTCCTATTGAAGACTCTACAGCAGGAATTTATTTTCTGTGTATTCTTAAGTAAACAAAGCCCGAGGGCCCAAATAGATGTAAAATATGTCCTTGCTTTGAAGCTATGGTGCAGCTTCCTTTTTGAAAAAAATACACATAGCATCAGCTGGTGGGAAGAAAGGTGTCTGATAATTTGCAGCAAAGCTGGAGGAAGAATTTAATTCTTACTTTCCCTGTTCCTTCATTGATTTATCAATTATCACACCTGCTTCCTGAGCTGTTATTTGGATGTTTAAAAATTTACACATTAAATGCAAAAACACTTTAGCTTCACATATAACATACAGTGCATTCGGAAAGTATTCAGACCACCTTCACTTTTTTCAATTTTGTTATGTTGTAGCCTGATACTACAATCGTTCAAATTCATTTTTTTCTCATTAATCAACACTCAGTACCCCATAATGACAAAGTGAAAACAGAATTTTAGAAATGTCTGCAAATTTATTAAAAAGGAAAAACTGAAATATCACATTGGCATAAGTATTCAGACCCTGAATTCCTGGCAGAAGACCACCTTCACTTTTTTCAATTTTGTTATGTTGTAGCCTGATACTACAATCGTTCAAATTCATTTTTTTCTCATTAATCAACACTCAGTACCCCATAATGACAAAGTGAAAACAGAATTTTAGAAATGTCTGCAAATTTATTAAAAAGGAAAAACTGAAATATCACATTGGCATAAGTATTCAGACCCTGAATTCCTGGCAGAGCTTTTTGAGGAGAATGTGTCCAAACCCATTCAGCTGATGAGGAAAGCTTTGCTCTCCACCAGAGGCTTAAGAAATGAAAGAACAAGACTAGATCAGAAGCACTGAAAGCTGAGGCATTGCTGACCAAGCAGGGAAATTCTCTTCATATGACAAATCAAAGGAGTAACTTCTTCCTCACCCTGTCCCTCAAATGCCTAAAATAGGAATGCTTTCCCTTTGCCAAAGTAATAGCGTTTGAAGAGGTTGGTGTAGGATCTATGTCGGTGGATACTGGTAAAATCAAAAGTGTTTTAACTTCCTCTAGCAAAAACAAAAAGATAGCATAGCTAAAAATAATAGGCTAACGATTTGAAAGGAAACTTTTCCTCGTATTTGCATGCTGTTTGAAGTGCTCATATCTAGAAATACTTTTTTCAGATCATATGATTAACATAAACCAGCAGGCATGAGCTATGAAGATTGTCTGGCTTTCTCTTCTGGTTGCCCAGGGAGCATCTGAAGAGTTTATTTGTATATGTTTTATCCTGTAGCTTAGGCGCTCAGGACAATGTACATAATAAGACAGTAAAATCAATGCAAAAAGTAATTCCAAAAATACAATCACAAAGAAAATGCTGCAGCCAAACACAGTGGAAAACAAAGACTAGTACACCAAGGAAGCACAAGCACAAAACACATAAAAATAATTAAGATATTGAACAGCTCAAAATATTACTTCAGAGTTTGAGAGAGAGAGAGAGAGAGAGAGAGAGAGAGATGGGTTACATGCACTGAACAACATGTTTGATGAAATAAAAAAGGATTTGCCTGGTAAAAATATAAAGTAAAAATTGAACAAGAAAGGATCATGTGAACAGTTCTAATTTATGGTTTTGTCTATTTTCCGAGAACCTCAAAATATATACTCCTCCCTGTCTTTCATTTTAGCCTCATAAAAAAACCCAAGAGATGCAAAATTATAGAGGTGAGGCATTTGGCCCATCGAGTCTAACATCCTTATCAGTCCAAGGTCCCTGTTTAAAAGCATCCCCATGAGATTACTGTGTGGTCAAGCCTCTGCTTCATTACAGCATACATAGCAAGAAAGAAAGGATCACTTCTCTAGGCAAATGCTGCTGCTTCAAGCTGCTCTTACAATTAGAAATATTTTCCTAATGGTCAACCAAATCTGCTTATAAGAGCTAAAGCTGGAGAGGTGGGAACAAGCATTGCTCAGGCCAGGCAAAACTCTGGTATAAACATGAAGCAGAGGGAGTTCTAATTTTAAAAAGACTAGCCAAAAAGTCCATTGACTTGAAACAGTGGGAAGAAAACCCAAGATTTAAACACTAGTACTGACAAATAGAAAGGGAGCTTGATTTCTGCATTCTGTATCTTCTGCCTACAGTATATTAAATGTATTTGCCTGCAATAATGCAACTTCAGTCCTGACTCCCTGAAGCTTCTGCTGTTATGTAGTTCTTAAATGTGGGAATATGTTTTTGGAAGAATTTGATAGCCATGCCTTGCCTGAAGTCTGACGCTGCTTTCTTACAACCTAAATCCATTATTTTGTATCCTGAACCATGGAATGATTGAGAACAGATCTGTCTTCTTCTATGTAACATTCCTTCAGGTATTTGAAGAGTGCTATCAGAGCCCCTCTCAGTCTTCTCAAGGATAAATATGCCTTGCTCCCTTATTTCCTTCTTGTACAGCTTAATTTTCAATCTAAGATCATCTGCATTTCAACTGTCTAAATCCTCCTTAAGGTCTAGAGTCCAGATCTGGATACAATATTTGAGATAAGGTCTGACCAGCACAGAATAGAGTGGTACTGTTACATCCTGTGATTTGGACATTTTACTTTCATGATGCGACTTAAAATAGCATTAGGTTTTTTGCAACCGTATTCTATGTTAACACATATTTAGCCTGAGATGCAACTTTCAGTTGGGCTGTGAAAGAGCAACGGGACTCTGAAATTACTCAGTGAGTTTCATGACTGTGCTGGCCTCTTTCCTTCAGGCAGTGAGATGACGACTTGAGTTAGGAGATCCTGGGAAATTGGGAGTGTCAACAAATTTTTGGAGGTGGGTGCATTATGTATCTGATATATGACCAACTATTGCAGGAGCTGGACTGCTTTTCTAGGTGTAGCATTTGCTCATCTAACACTGCCCCCTGGATCTGCCTGAGGTCCATGGTCCACAGCCAAGTCATTCTCAGGAAGGTAGCCAGGCACATGCAACTAGTAGTACACATAAACAACAGGAAGAACCCCACAGAAGGGGATGCAGTTAATATAGTCAATAACATTAATTAGATGTATTCAGGGCACCTATCTACAGGGGACGCGGTGGCGCAGCGACTTAATGATGCTGAAAGTTGCTGGCCAGAAATGGTTGACACTTCAGCGGCTCGAGCCCAGCTCCACGCAGCAGAGCGAGCTCCTGCTTCCTCCCCAGCTCCTGCCAACCCAGCAGCTCGAA